GTGTTTGTGTGTGTGTGTGATGGCCTTGCATTAGATCAATAGCTCTGTGGTGACAGCTAAGAGCTGATTAATCAAATGTATGGACCAGTCTCTCTCTCTCTGCCCTCTCCTCAATTACCAGCTTCATTACGTTGCCTTAACACCCCACTGGGACCTTTCTCCGTTCTTCCCTCTCATCCCCTCCCTTTCTCCTCCCTCCCGTCCCTTTTCCCATCCTCTGTTCTTCCCTCTGAGTGTTTTCTCTCCTCCCTCTCTTTGAGTAACACAGATGTAAAATACATGTAATTCAGCCACTATTGCTAGAAATCACATTTTGACTGGCAGTGAGACGAGGAACTTCAAATCTGAGCCCGACTGATAACACTGTTTACTGAAACAAATATAAGGTGGTTGTTTTGATCTGCGGCATTTCAAAGAGGACTGTGTCTAAACCACAAGCATTTTTTTCCTTATTTTTTGGCTTTGCTTTACGTATCAATGTCACTCCCTTCTTCAACCCCCCCTCCATCCATTTTTCTTCTCTCTCTTCCTTGCACTTCTTCGCTCTTTTCATCGCCGTCGTTCTGCAGCCCTTCTCCTCCCCCACCCCATCCCTCTGGCATTAACACTCTGTCTCATTGCCTCAGTGCTATGACTAAGCACTGTGTGTGTAGTATGTTTTTGTGTGTCTTTCTGTGTGTGTGTGTGTGTGTCTATAGATAGTGTATGCGTGGAAGGGCCATTCAGAACATGTGTGTGCATGCATGCGTGCATTAGCACTCTAGGCGCTTGATCTCTGTAGTCGTGACATTTTTTAGACAGAGGCAGAGTCACGACTGAATCACGCCTCACTCCTCCCTCTTTCTCTCTCTATTCTTTTTGAATCATCCTCTCAGGGGCAGCTTTGCTTTCATCCACCCACTCTCTGTCTCTCTGTCTCTCTCTTCATGTAATGCTTCGTTTTCCAGCAATTCCATTCACTCCCTCGTTCCTCTTGGCCTTCCACCTGCCCTTTCAGTCGGTCGGAGTCAGTCGGGCTCCCCCAGGCCTCTCTCTCTCTCTCTCTCTGTGTGTGTCTCTTGCTCTCCATCCTTTTATTTTTAGCTGACCTGTTCCCTTCACACACTTGTCATCTCGTTCCACTACAATATATACACCCCCCCCCCCCTTCTCGCTATCTCAATCTACTCTTGTCCCTCATCTAATCCGTGGTTCTTCTGTAATCCAGATCAACTGGCCTGCATTCTTAATCTCGTCACTTCTCAATCCCCCCTCCATTCTGTGTGTGTGTAACAGAGAGAGAAATCAGAGATAGTAAGGTTGCGTGTGTTTTGACACAGAAAGAGAGCAGAGTTCAGACGCACCTGTTACCTGCTAACCTTGATTTATCAGTGATTAAAAAACACATAACCCAACCCACACCTAAACACACACACACACACACACACACACACACACCATCAGAGCAGTAATTAAAGTTTTAACATTTCTTTCAAAAGAATCGTAACAAAATAATTTGTTACTACAGATAATGTTCTCAGTGCTATTTAATGGAGGCCAGTTGGTCCAAATAAGTAGATTTTTTTATCAACTGACATTTTTTTCTTTAATAATTTCCACTATTTTGGACTAACCAACCCTGGCACATTTACAGAAATGTTTATTCATGTGCATTGTCCTTATAAATGATTACATTTATAGAATAAAATGTTTACTGTAAGTGGAGTCAATCCTAAAGAGAGATCCTCTGCTTGGACAAATGGAGAGAGACTTGTTTATTTTGACCATCTGTGTTGATGTTCCTTCTTGTTTGTTCCTCAGATGAATCGGCCAATCCAGGTGAAACCAGCTGACAGCGAGGGCAGAGGAGGTGAGACATGCACTTAAACGTAGTTAAACACACACACATACACATTCAGTAAGACAGTAAGAAGGTAGGTGTCAAGTTGGATCAGATAGAGTAGTCAACAGGGTGTGTTTGGCGGATTACTTGGACCCGTGCTTTCAGTAAATACACACAGACACACATTCAAATCACTCTTTCCACTCCCCTCTCGCATTACCATTCTCTACAGTCAATACTGCCCCCTGGTGGACAAAAATAGTAGCTTCCATAGATAGATAGTCTTATTAACAGAGATGTGACAGAAGTTGAGTTTCATTTTCTTCTTTCTTTGGTCTCCAGAGGATAGAAAGTTGTTTGTGGGCATGCTTGGAAAGCAACAGAGCGATGAGGACGTCAGAAGGCTGTTTGAGCCCTTCGGCAGTATAGATGAGTGTACGGTGTTGCGAGGACCCGACGGCACCAGCAAAGGTAAAACGCATGTAATACACATGCTCATGCACACACGCAAACTACCTCATTTCATGTAGTTGTATTTCCTATTTAATATAGTCTAATATAGTGCTGTAACTCACTCTGTTTTGTTCCAGGGTGTGCTTTTGTAAAATTCCAAGGACACGCTGAAGCCCAGGCTGCCATCAACAGCTTGCACGGGAGCCGCACAATGCCTGTGAGTTGCATGCATGAAATTACAAATGATTAAAAACACACACACAGCAAGCACACACTACATAACATCTGTATGCTCTTCCAAAGACATTGTACATGTACATAAGTCACGATGGAGAGCTTTGGTCAGGTCCTGACCTGTCCTGGCATATCCTAGCTATAGCACATCAAAGGGATTAAATAGATAGAGAAAATGAATGAATTAATAAACATGGAGCCCAGTCCACACATAAATAAGATAACATATAAGATCACTTGTAATTGCACTTGAAACTTAACGTCTGTCGCCATCTTTCACCACAGGGAGCGTCGTCCAGTCTGGTGGTGAAGTTCGCTGACACAGAGAAGGAGCGGGGGCTGAGGAGGATGCAGCAGGTGGCCTCTCAGCTCGGCATCTTCAGCCCCATGACCCTCAACTTCCCCGCCTACAATGCCTACACACAGGCGGTCAACGCACAGGCAAGCGGTGCACGCATGCACAAACACTCGCTGCACTACACACGTACACACGAAGTTTGTAAGGGGAGTGCTGTGCTTATGAAAGGATGTAATAAGTTTGAAGAGGCTATCAGTGGTCTAATTGGGGGTAATGTTATTACACAGACAACAGAACATACGTCATCTGGCATTAGCTTTCCCGCAACACACAACCATTAACCCACTGACTCAGGACATAATGGCCTTGTAATTAGATCTCTATTCATCTGTTCCTCCATCACTCCCTCTCTCTGTCCCTTCCTCTCATTTTTTCTGCCTCTTTGTCTCTCTCCCTCTCTTTTTCCCATATCCATTTAACTGTCTCTTTGTCTTCTCTCTCTCTCTCCCTCACTTTTTCCCCCTCTTCCTCCTCCCCCTCTTTTTCTCCATCCCCTTCCTCTCTCTCTCTGTTTCCTTCCCTGTCTACAGCTTGTCCAACAGCAGGCCCTGGTTGCCCAGTCAGCGTACTTGTCTCCTGTGGCAACAGTTGCCGCCGTACAGATGCAGCAGATGGCGGCGCTCAATGCCAACGGAATCATTGCCACACCCATTACACCCATCACGCCGTCTTCGGGTAGGCTCACACATTTTTGGAAGAAGGAAGATATTGGGATTTTATAAATAAGGTAGATGATATGTCTTTCGTTGTAAGAAATTGTAATGATTGAATAAACATGTGGACGCGGAGTCCGACACATAGGAATTTGATTGTTTAGATAACATTTATGTAAGTATCTATTTGTTAATTGCAATTTTTGAATTACTTAGACGTTCGGTCCTTCTATGCTTTCACCACGAGGATGCGTTCGTTCCAGTTTGTTCTGTTTGTGGTTGTGTTGTGGTGGTGAATGTTCGCTTGACACGAGTGAGAATGGACGGGGCGAGGAGGATGCAGTCAAGGTGGCCTCGTTCCAGCTCGGCATCTTTCAGCCCCCCCATTGACCCTCTAATCTCCCCGCTACTAGTGCCTACACACCAGTCGGTATTCAAGCCACAGTGCATATGCGGAAGCATCGCATTGCAGCAATATCACTCTTGCTGCACTTATTACTATTTCATTTTTTTTGTTCGTTACTTCTATACGAAAAGTGTGATTAAGAGGGAGTGCTTATGTGCTTTTATGAAAGGAGTAATATTAATTAGTTATGAAGTAGGCTATATCAGTGGATCTGTAATTATGTTGGGGGTATATGTTATGTTTATCACATTGAACAACAGATGACATAGCGGCATCTGGCATAGCTTTCCCGCAACACACACAACCATTTTTAACACCTTACTGACTCGAGGACATAATTGAGCCATTTTTGGTAATCTTTAGATCTTCTATTTCATCTGTTCCTCCATTCACTTCCCTCTTTCTCTGATCCCTTCTCTTCATTTTTTCTGCCTTTGTCTCTCCTTCCTCTCAATTTTTCCCTATATCCATTATACTGTTCTCTGTTTTCTCTCTCTGTCTCTATCTCTCCTTTCTTACTTTTGTCTCCCTTCTTCTCCTCCCCTTTCTTTTTCCAATCTCCCAGGTTTTCCTCTGGTCTTTCTGATCCTTCCTGTTGTCTCTTCTCTCTTCTTACAGCTTGTCCTAATTCCAGCAAGGTCCTTCTTGGTTGCTCCAGGTTTCATTCGTAACTTGTCTCCCTGTGGGTCAACCAAAGTTTTTATTGTGCCTTTTGCCTGTATTCAGATGTCAGCTATGATGGCGGCGCTTCAAGTTTTTGCCAACTTGGGTAATATCATTTGCCACATCTCTTCATTCTATCCCATTTGGCTACGTTTTTTTTTTTTTATTTATTATTTTTTTTTTTTGTTTTATTTTTTTTTCTTTTTTTTCCGTCGTGCTGGAGTTTGCCGTTACGGTGTACATTTTTAATTTTTTTTTTTTTTGTTATTAGTAATTTATTGCGAGATAGTGTTATTTTAGCTATTTAAGATTTGATGAAGCTATGTTTAAAGAGTGATTTTGAAAGAGGGTGTGTGGAATCGCAGGGTTTGGATTACATTAATTATGTAATTTGGTATTTGTACTTGCTAGTGACAGAGACTCATTATCTGGGATGTGATCCTTGTTCCTAGGAACAAACACTCCACCAACTATTGCAGCAACGCCTGTGTCAGCTCTGCCACCAATAGGAGTGAATGGTTACAGCAGTGTGCCAGCCCCCACCAATGGACAACAAGCAACAGAAGCGCTATACACCAATGGTGTTCACCCATATCAAGGTATTTTGATAAAGACACAGACGTACGGACTACTGCAACAGAGTCATTAAACTGAACAGGGAAAGTCCAAGATTTATTAGCACATTGCTTGTGTTTTTTCATTCTCATTGTTTTTCTGTTTTCTCACTCTCCAGCTCAGAGTCCTGCAGCCTTGGACCCTCTACAGCAGGCGTATGCAGGCATGCAACACTACACAGGTTGGTGTATGGTCGGATTAAAGTCCTGACCAGATGTAATTTTGGTCTGGATTATCTAAATGACCTCTAGCTAACTGCACAGTGTACAGTATACTCTATCTGTAACAAACCATCAAAGAGCTTACAACCACAGCACTCACTGGACACAGCAGATAGGGTTTAAGAGGCACTTTACTCTGTCAACAGACAGGCATGCAAACAAAATCAGCAGGCAGCTTAAATGCTCAACAGCTCAAGATGACACGTGACAAATGCTCACTATATGTATGTACTACTGGGCAAATGAGCAAATAGGAAACGTGTGTACAGACAAGTCACTAGAACAGAAGAAGAAGCTCGCTGAATGACACCTTCTCCCTGTGTGTTGGGGTGGTATATATATAGATACATATAAACTGGTTTCAGAAACTTATTGAATATCACTTCTGGTTCAGTAAGACACATTTAGCCTTGTTAATAATAGATGTCAGTGTCCACATTTAATTGAGTTATCAGAAATGAATATTAATGTGCAGCCAAGGAGGCAGATCATGCAGGAGGTAAAATCAGTATCCTTATTTAACCTCCTGAAAATGTGGAACAAAGACGTCCAGGTGTCTGCTTACAGTTTGACCGCCATCATTTCAAGGGTAGAAATGTTTCAAGGGCAACTGATTGATTTAATTTTGTTATGATTTATCTGATTATACTGTGACACAACACACACATTAATGTCTCTAATAATGTATCGATGATTCATACCTATGGAGTATTGGGGGGCTGTAATGTGTGCATACCAGACTATGATCAACACTGTCATTGTTTAGCAGACTTACTCCTTTCAACTGTTACAGTTAATAGTTTTCACCTTCAGCAGGAGACATTTCAGTTCAAACAAAATCACTCTATTGGACACTGTCATGTTGCCACCTGTTGTTTTTAACCAATCAGGTTTTGTTACTGTCTCTCCCAATAGCAGCGTATCCTGCTGCCTACGGATTGGTCGGACAGCCGTTCCCCCAGCAGCCAACACTGGTTGCCCAGCAACACCAGCAGCCCCAGCAACAGCAGCAGAGAGAAGGTGATGTGACTTCCTGTCTGTCTGGGGCCACACCCCTCTCTCCAATGATCCTATTTAAAGTTGTTTATCACAAGGTTTCACAGCCTGAGATCGTTTATCACACTCTGCCTAACGCCTGTGTGTGTGTGTGTGGTGTTGTGGTGTGTGTGTGTGTGTGTGTGTGTGTGTCGGTGTTGTGTGTGTCTGTTCAGTCAGAGGCTTGTAACATCTTCATCTACCACCTGCCTCAGGAGTTCAGTGACTCTGAGATGCTGCAGATGTTCCTGCCCTTTGGCAATGTCATCTCGGCTAAGGTGTTTGTTGACCGTGCCACCAACCAGAGCAAATGCTTCGGTGAGACACAGATATGGGGGAGAAAGAGGGAGGGAAAGGGGAGAGCAGATGTATCAGAGAAAGGGAAGGACGAATGAAAAAGAGAGGAGGTGACTTTGTGGAGGATAAGTCAGATTCAACTGTGTATCTTGCCTAAGTTGAGACAAAGGGACGGAGTAGGGCGTGGAAGAAAGGTTCAATTAAAATAACAGCTCTTCTTTTTCCCTCTCTTCCAGGATTTGTGAGTTTTGACAACCCAGCCAGTGCTCAGGCCTCCATCCAGGCCATGAATGGCTTCCAGATCGGCATGAAAAGACTGAAAGTGCAGCTCAAAAGGCCCAAAGATGCCAACCGCCCATACTGAGTGACAACTGAGAGGAGGAAGAAGAAATAAAGAGAGGTGAGGTGGTGGTAGTGAAGTGATGGGTGACACGACATGAAGAGAAGTGAGGTGTTGTATGTTGGGGGAGCAGGAGGATGATATTAGGCTAGTGAGAGAAGAAAAAAAACAACGTGGAGAAGGTAGCGTTAGCTTTGACACTGAGATGCTAATTGGTACTGGTACAAAGTTAAAAAGCTTAACATAACATATCAGTGAATTTACAGTACGTTGGGTTACTCATATGAAAGAAAGCAAATGAATCAACTCAGGAAAAGTGAAAATACTAAAATATTGTATTCCTTTTTATTTTCTTTCACAATCTTATTTATTTTCTTTCCTGCTGTTTTGATCTTTTCCTGAAACGGCAACTTACCTCACCCAAGATCCTCCCGTCCAATCATAATTCACGAGGACCCCATCGCTATGGCAATGGTTGCCTAGTGACCGATAAAGCCCCGACCCCCCCTTCCTCTCGCATTGTTGTAAGTTGATTGGTTGGCCTGTGTTTGGGTTGCTGTGGCGATTGATTGCCTGTGTTGGTTGCCCTTGGCAATTTTTGTTCTGTCACCTCGAGCAACCAGCCATGCGTTGACCTGCATGTCCTGTTGCTGTAGTGACCACAGACTGTGTTTGGTGCATTGTGACTTTATTTTGTATTGACCTGTGCACATACTGATCAATAACTGTCAATAGCCAGGACTGTACTCCGAATCAATTGATTTAATTGGATATTTGATACACTTAATTATTGACTAGTCATTTGATAAATTCAGTACCTCGTTCTTTTTTTGCAGCTTTGTTTTTGATCAGTTTCTGTAGTGTTCTGTTTGGTGTCATTATTATTTGAACAAATTGTTTGGGTAAAGTAGTGAGCGTGGGCATCTATGTGTACATATGTGTCTGTGTTACACTGTTAGCGTGTAACACAGGAGTTCATAATCCTTGTTGTACTGGTGTCTGTACAGAGAGGTTTTCCAGAGGTTTCCAGAGGTGACTGGTGGATAAATGTAGAACAACACTAGCTTACTGAAAAATATGAAATAACTTTCGATGGGAAAAACTAACACGCCATTATGTATTTATGCAACATACAGCAATGGCAGGCCATGTTGGACAAGAAATGATTATGCAGAACAGGAGATAGAAGTTTAAATACGGCTACAAAGTGGTCCAAAACATGGGCCATACAGGTGAGGACAGAAAAGAACAGAAAAGGCTGAGTTTAAGGACAAAAGCACACTAATTTTGGGCGAGCATGCATTTTGTTGAGCTGTACTCTGATAGGCTGGGTTTTATATTCCTGGATTCTGATTTGTTACACTGTTTGATGTGGCACTTTAGTTTTTTGCTCCTTTGTTTCTCTTTTCTTGGTCTCTTTTACATTTTCTATCACTGCTTTTGTGGTGTTCCCTCCCTCTTCCCTTCACCGACCCCCTCCTCCTCCGGTCCCCTTATCTCCTCCTACTTGTTCCCCCTTTCTCTGTCAAAGTCCTTCTTCGCTTCTCTTCATCCCAACCCCCTCTTTCTATCCCTCTAGCTCGTGTTTTGAGGTAAAGGGTATGTGGTTGTTATGGTGGAAAAACAAGTGCCTCTTGCTTATTGGAGAACAGCCTTCAACTATAGGAATTCTGGGAGAAATGTAACACAGAGAGAAGAGAGGATCTCTTTAGTTTCAGGTAAATTCAGTCCTTCACAAACCCTAACCTTTACCAAAGAGAAGAAAATGTGTTGCTGCTGTCAGGCCAGTGTGTGGCAGCACACATTATAAATAAAGGATTCTGTTTCTATTTCTAGACAAACCTTTACATAACAAATCCTTGTGAATAATAAGAAGGTCTCTTATGTCTAATGGACTTATCTGACAACAACCACTATTTGAGCCCTTGAAACTGCTGCCCCTTATCAATTATCACCCAGAATTTCTATACTGCAAATGCCAGAGAGTGATGCATGTCGGTAGTAGTGTTTGCTTGCCATGATCCAAGACACACGAGTGCAGCACACGCTCATAAAGTCCCACACATAAACACATATGCCCAGACACTGGAGCTTTACAAACACACGCACACACATACGCATACCGCCAGACACACACCACCAATCACACAAAGAACATGAATAATGGATTTTCACTGTATTGAGTTGCATGAGCCAGACACTGTGTGTGTATGTGTTAAAGCACCATGATTTATTGCTGTTGAAAGACAAGAGCTTTACAACTGTGAATGATGCCTTCTTGTTTTAATTCACCACGATGAAACTGAGACAAAGACAAGCTCAGGTGCAATTTGCTGCAAGATAGGAGTCCAAGTCATGCTTACAAGAGTTTTGTTTGATGGGAGGAGCATGTTTGACGAGATATAAAGATCAGACAGAAACATGGAGCTCCAGTGTATTTATAACTTTGCTCTCTAACATATCCCCCCCTCCTTCTCTCTGTCCCTCTCTCCTTGTGTATGTATCACTCCCTCTACCCCCCAACTCTCCCTCCCTTCACAGGTGACCTTTCAGAGTCCAGCCGAGGTGGAATCCCAGGGTTCATAGTGCTTTCAGACTGTCTGCTACCTTTGAGCGTCCGGAGAGTGCAGCCAAACACACACACACACACACACACACACTTTTACAATGACACACACATGCACTCTAAAACACTGAACCTCAAACGGTGCAAGGCTGATATACAAATGTACATAAAGTGCACAAACACACACACACACACACACACACACACACAACGGACAGTCACATACAAATACACACGGTTCACACGAGTCAGTAATCTTACCCATACAGCCAAGAGCTTGGTTTGACCATGGTCTGCGTGGAGTTTGCCAACAGGGTGTTTAGTACAGTTATATGTGTCATACCAAGCATGTATGGAAGGTACTGATGAAAAATGCTGATATATCACTTCAATAGACTTTAACATGTCTATACCATGTCTATTACGTGACAAATATAGAGGGGCCGATGTTTCATAATAAAAAAAGAAAGAAAATACAAAAAAGACGACTAAATGAGTAGGTTAGAGAGACTTTGGAGAAAATCCTAATGACCTGTAAATAATTTAGTTTACAAAGAGCAGCATTTAAAAAACAAGAAAAAATGCAAAAAGAATACTACTTTAGATAAACACTGAACAGGACACAGCGACATTATTATTATTATTATTATCATTATTATTATCATTATTATTATTATTATTACCACTAGTAACATCATCGTCCTCATAAAGGGATATTACATTCCAAATTGTAAAATGGGAAATCACTAACCTATTTTAAATTTCTACTTAGATTTTAGGTGAAACTCGGGGGAGGGGGGATTGCACTTTTATTCGGGAGGTTTTAATATTTGAGCTATTTTTTATTTATTTACTAATTTATCAATTATTTTGTTTATTGGGAGGGAAGGGATTTGAATGGGTTGCAATATTTTGATTTTAGAATTTTCTAGAGAAAACCTTTTGAGGGCCTGTTTCTGTCAGACTCTTGCAATCGAGTAATTATAATGTATGTATTAATTATTACAGCAATTATATTTATTTCTAATTTATTGAATCCTGTTTTTGATCCACTCTCTTTTTAAGTTAAAATAAAAAGTATCATACTAAATATCCTAATGTGATTTATTAAGCGTGTATGTGTTTGTTTGTATGTGTGTGTGATAGAAAAAGAGAGTGAAAGCAGAAATGAGAGCGCACATCCGTTTTCTGACCAGAAGGGGGCGTAAGTACAGAGCATGTAACCAGAGACTGAGAGTGTTTTCACCCACATTAAGCTGATGTGCCAGGTTTGTTATCTCCTGTATTCATTTATGGGAGTAGTCTTCTTATTTATCAGCACAATTAAATGCTGTATTGGTTTTTATCTTTGAGAACATGGCTCCAGTGAACTCTCGTCCCTCTGGGACAATTATTCTGCAAGTTATTTTCCCCTTCAGTTGATCTCGGTTCAGTTTACCAAAAGAGAAACAATTAAATTAATTTGATGTGTGCAAGTGCTCAGGCCAAAATGAATTATCGCTGAGTGTGATTTTCTAATAAAACTGTATTTGACAGGATTCAAACACAACTCACTTCCATACACATATTTCAATAAGGAGGGATCAATCTGAAGTGTGTACCGGTATTGATTGAGGTCAGCAACAGACAAAAGCTTTGACGATTAGATGTGATTCATTGTGAAGCATTTTCATTGAGGGTAAATATTAATATTAAAGTAGGGCTGTTTCACTACACAATTATCGTGACCCAAAGAGTTCGTAATAATCATAGTCTCTTTTTTTAACCAATTACACTGAAAATATGAATGTGGGGAGATTGTCTGTAACCAACAAAAGAGTCCAAAAAGAACAATTACACTGATTATGAACCACAAAGCAAGAACAGAACATTATATCATCATATGTGTATTATTACCATGATATCAGTATTTCATTCTTTAAATATCACAGTTATCGTCACTACCGGTATATTATAATAGGAGTATGCGACACCCATTTTAAAGTTTAATTCCACAATATTTCTTTACTTTTACAACTTTATAAAGATAATTTATGAAGCAGTTAGTGGTTAATGACAAATGGTTCATGATTGACAACAGTGGGTTCATTTTTTTAAACAAATCTTGAACCTTTGCCTTCAAGAGCCACTCAAAATCTCCCATGACCCCACTGGTGGGTTGATGGGAATGATATAGTGATATAAGATCACAAAGCTTCTCTCTGGGTAGTGTCTGCTTTATTTTATAATGTCATATTCAAGAAAGAAATGAAATTTAATGCATCTGTTATTCTTAAGATAAATGTCAATTAAAGCCAGATCCAGTTGTTACCATTCAGATGACCTTGTCCCGTCTCACGTGTGCAAACCGTTACTGTCTGTGCCGAGCTCTTTTACAGGCTGGAGGTTAGTAAGACCTTAAGTCAATATGTACATCATGTCACCCTGTAACCCTTTACATGCTTGTTTTATAGTTCATGGGTCACAAGGAGAGGAAGATAACCTTCATCTATTCCCCCGGCTGAAAAGAAGAGCATCAGCAATACAAATATCACAAAAAAATACACTGACCTGCAAAGGCAAACATTTGGAAACTGCTTAGTATCTTTAAACAGGTCAGAGGTCACATGTTTTTGCTTTTTAGATTTAGTAACGAGTATGATGACACCGAATGTGTAATTTACCAAAACTGTAGGAGGTCATTTGAGGTAACGTTTCATCACAAATGTAGCTGATAGATGGCTCTGAAGGTCAGTTAAATACCTAAATAAACAGACATTAAATGCAGATCATTTAAAAAAATATGATTATGAGATGATTTATCACAATCAATAAAAAAAAAAGAATTCTACATGCAGCTGAAAAAATTCACAATAAATGAGTGCAGCTGCAAAATATGCTGCGTTTACGAACAACAAGGGGGTCGAAGGTCAGCCGCAGTAAAGCTAGTGCACACACACACACAGCCGAGAAAGAGGAGTTTTACCCTCAATGAAAGCATAAAATAACAGAAAACGGAGCGCTGTGTGTTTATAAATAAGATGTAGCAGACTACGGGGGTCTGACACCCATTAACCCGGTTCCCCATCTGCACAAAGACAGAAAGAAGAGGGGGGAGTTCAACTTTCCTCCGGGCGGAAACAAAATGCGGATGTGTGTGTGTGTGTGTGAGAGAGAGTCTGTGTCAGCCAAATGTGCTCGGACGTCATCTACGTCCCTCCCTCTCCGTTATCCCCTCACTCCTCCTCCCTCCGTCTGCTCCTCTCACACTCCGCACTCGTGCCGGGACCGACCTCCGCCTCTTCCCCGGCCAGACACCCAGACAGACCCCGCCGACTGCCGGGACACACAAGTTTAAAGAGGGGGGCAGAGAGACAACAAGAACTAGTTAGGGCCACGACGAGAGAGAGAAAACAGCCCGAACATTTTTTTATTTCATTTTTTTTGTTGTTGTTGCTGTGAGAAAAAACTGCGGGTCGCATTGCAGCACCTCTCATATTCTCCCATCTGTAGGCACTTTTTGTTGTTGTTGTTGTTGTTGTTGTTTTTACCCCACATCAGTGCTTTTATGAGGAGGAAAAACAAACTTTGTACCCTACGGAAAGATGTAAAAATCAGTCCGGATACTAAACTTGGACACTAACTGCGCCCTTCTGAGCACAACCACAGCGGGGCTGGGCACACTCAACAGGACCGTTAGGTTTTTTTTAGCTAGCAAGCGAGCGGCTCGGTGGGACCAGGACGACTTTGTGAGAAAAAAGACAACATCTTTTTATTATTTTTTCTGTCCACAAGCCGCATTTTCAGCTTCACTACGGGGGAAAAACACCAAAGTAAGTAAAACGCTTCACTTCCACCTCGGCGAGTAGACGTTATTCATCTATGTGCGCGTGAGTGGGTTAACGGCGGGCGCACGCTCCGCTCAGACGTCATTACGCATTCATGTTCGGGTCGGTTAATTAAACATAACTGCTGTCTTCAAACGGCAGGTTAACGGTCGTAAAACAAACAAACAAACAAACAAACAACAAAAAAACCGTTATTTAACGTTAATGGCGGCGTAGAGTTGTGACCGTTACGCTTTTTGTTGTCTAACATGAAGACACGACGGCTGCTGCCGTGTGGCCCACGGTGGGTCGGGTTCCCAAAGTTTGCTAGCAGCAGATTACGCCACATTATCACCAACCACAGAGCTGCAGGCCACCGATACACAGACAGACAGACAGCCTTTTAAATTGTACCTGTTTTTAATTAAAGGGATTCGTTTGTGTTTGGGACCCCTGCTGCTGCTGCTGAGGGCTCCATTGTGGTTTTCACTTAGCTAGCCCCCTGTTTACTTCCAGTGTAGCTACATTAAATCTGAGCAAGAACACCACAGTTACAGGAAAGCACCGGAATTTAAAGGGTTTAATGTAAAGGGAATAAGAATGTGATCAATTGAGATAAAGTGGTAAGTTAGCTGTAAACTCATTAATCAGCCTGAAGTGTATTATTGGAATAGTGTTTATTTTGTGACCAGTTGAGATTTGTGTATATGCCATGTGCACTCATTCATAGTCAAAGGTATGTAAATCTATGACATGACAATAGGCAAATACGTGTCCATATTTAGGTAAACATTGTATCCAGGTCAAAGGTTTTGTTATTCATTGGGCAAAGACCTGTGAAAGCTTCACAATAGTGCTGAAACGATTTGAAATTGAGTTGATTAATAGATTAGTTGTGTAAGTATTAGGCAAAAATGCCAATAATTTGATTATTCCAACTTCTCAAATGTGAGGATTTGCTGCATGTCTTCTGTTATCATGTTAACTGTAACTGCTATATCTTGGGGTTGAGCAGAAAGCAAGCGATTTGGAAACATTACCATGGTCTCTGGGAAACTGTGAGGACCATTTTGGACTTTTCCAGACTACAAGGTACTTACTATCTGTGACTGACTATTAGTAGGACTAACTAAATGTTTCATTAAGAAGAGAAACCCTTTTATTGGTGCAAGTTTTGCATCCAGGTCCCACAAAGTCCCACAAAACCCTGACTTACGAGCTTTAGGTTTTGGTTTATCTCTACCCAATCTGGACAGAAAATAACTTCAACTATCATCTGTCAATGATTACACCTTCTGCTTCTTCGGCTCAACAACGTCAAGCAGTTACTGGGACTATCTTTGCGCAGCAGTACCTCAGTGTTGCTAATGTTTGATGATCATTACCATTCAGGGCTTCCACTCAACAGAAAGAATAGCCTCACATATATCCAGGAGGCGATCTAATTGCTCTGGGCTAGGTAACTGTACTTACTCAAAAGGGCAGAACAGGCCTGCATCCAGTCACGAGAAAAATCAGCATGACAATATTACCCTCACACCTCCTCAACAGGGCCTATTCAAATCAGCCCGCTGACTGATTGGATCACCTCATCAATAATTCATCAGGGTCACAGATCAGTGTCAAAGGTATTGAAGTTGACTTTCTTTTAAAACACAAAAGTGGATAACAGTGATGAAGCAGATCACTGCAGACTGACTGTCTGCGCCCTTGGGATGAATTTACGTTTTCTCCCACTTAGCAGTACACCGTTTTCTAAAATCTCTGCGTCTTGTACTTAAATAGGATTCCAATGAACTGTTTTTCAGTCTAGCTGAGATCCAGAGGAAAGTCTGAAATGTGACGGATGTGTATGACTCACCCTCAGAAGGCATGCCCTGAGTTAATGAACCATGCACAGAAAGCATGTCAGCCTCCTGAACTGCTGTCCCACAATACGCACATTCATGATTCTCACTGTGATCTGCAAACTGTGGCTGCATGGTGGACCACAGGAGATGAAAGTACATTCAGGTTGACATAGTTCATCACATACTTACATCTACTGTAGTCACACTACAAGCTTTAGTGCCAATTATGGATTTTTTGTTTGTTTGGCTGTTGATATTATTTGTTAAATGTGGCCCTGTATCAGATTCCAGTGTGGTCACAGTTCTGAAGTGACCCACATTATGAATGTAGACCGAGAGTGATGTAAAAGTCACACTAATTCAGATTCACTGTTCACACTGTGGTCGCATTACGTATCTGATTTTGACCAGATATGAAAGTTGCTCAGATCAGACTCCATGTGGTTTGTGCTGTTTACACACATGAAAAAAAGTCTGATCCACGTCACATACAAGGGGGACAAAATTAGATTTAGGTCACTGGTAGATATGTTTTTGGCATTGCCACAACTTGGTGGGACTGGTGCCAGAACCTTGCACAGTTCATTATGTTTATTCACTGTTTCCATCAAACATTTTACTCTCATCAGCATCGAAATTACAGCAAAAACAGCATTCAAACTAAGGCTGTAATAAATGATTCTTGTTGTTGTCAATTAGCCAGCCAAGTGTTTTCTCAGTTAATAGTTCAGTCAAGAAGATGGTGAAAAATGACAATTATAAAATCTCCCACAGGCCAGAGTGACCTATTTAACTGTATCTGACAATCCCAACCCAAATATATTCAGTTACTATCATAAATAGTATTATATTTGTCAATTGATTCCTTGACTAATATTAATACTACACTAAATAACATACTAATTAAATGATTTAAAGGTGACTCATAACATCTTTTTAATGGTAGGAGGAGGATGACTACTACGATATTTGAACATTTACAAACAGGTTTATTAGTGAAATGTCTAAATAGCATTGCAGGTTTACAACCTATTTTATTGTAGCTGTTGTTCGAGAAATCATCCATCATATCAGCAACGGACAGCATGAATGAGAGATAATTACTACAGTGCCACTAATCGCCCAATATCCAATAGACCAAAGTGTTAAACTTTGAGCCGGGTATCATTTCAAATCTGCTAATATGATACCTGAGCTTTGGCACTGATAGCAAAATAAAACATATATATATATATAAATATAAACATATATAACAAGAACTTTGCCTAAATATGATGCAAAGTTAGCAAGGCAATCATTCAATTCAGGAAATATGTAGAACAAGTCAGTACCTGGCAGCTCTTTACTTGGGGCTAGAGACATATTTCAGTCAGTACACAGAAAGTATTTAACACAGTACCCTGCAGAAGTTGTACAGCAGTAATCCTTCCATTGGCTGTCTGTCTGCATGTGTGCATCTGTTTATCCTGTAGCTTCAAAGTGACAACAGTCAGTCCATACAATACTGTGTATGAAAGCTGATGTGAGCGACAGTAAAATGAAATCATTTAGGGCTGCTGACTCAGCTTGTGACCTGTTGTAACATCAGCAAGCAGTCGATGTTCTGCCTCCGACTTATTAAACCCGAGGTGCCAAAAAATCTCAGCTTTGACCTCTCATATCTCGTAGTTTATGGTGGACCCTATCTGAGCTCCCGGTGTCTGCTTAAAAAGAAAAAGTCGTGGTTTGAATGAGTCAGCTGTCAGTGATCAACTTAAGTGTGGATGGCTGTGAGTAAAAGAGGTAGTTACACACGTAGATGGTATGTTATTAGTGACTCACACTCAGAGCACATTCGTACTGTCTCGTGACTTATGTTCTTCCTGTCGACTCAGCCTCCTGTCATTCAGACAAACAAAGTGTTGGGTGACTGTAAGACTCCATAAGAGGTTATTCATGCATGGAGAGTGAATGGGGCATCTGCAGCGATATGGTGGCTGTATGTTTACATTCTCCAAATATTTCTGGACTCCTGTACCAGGTTGCAGTGTGCTCTGTTGAGGCTTGCCTCTGAGGCGCGTTCCCTTCATTTCATCCTTTTTTTTTTTTTGTGGGAAACTTCAGGTAGAGCTGAAAACAGTAACATCTGGAGCTGGATCGCTGTTTACAATCACCACATCCCTGTAATGTATATTCACAGTGAGGGAGGGAGAGGAGACAGTTAGAGAACTTCCTTTCTCCCTCCCCTGCTAGAGGCATCCTTTATTTTTATTGGACCTTTGAAATGGTCAGAGTCTGGTCATATGATCCCGTGGGCCAATAGGAATGTGGTGTTAGGAAAGCTGTGTGGAGAAAAAGAGTTTTAACATGCTGAATTCACTGGATGATCTCAACTTGTAAGCCTAAAAATATCCCTTCAAATCCTAATTTTCCTCCACATAGCAGTGAGGCAAGATATAAAGAACTGGTCCTTTTGCAAATTTGCAAATATTTAATCCTTGATTGTTTGGTTTTGGAGGTCTGTGCGTGTGTGTTTGTTGAGCCTAATTACAGCTGATACACTCATTAACAGTTTATAGTTGGTTGTTATTAGAAGAACTCATTTATCACATGGAGGTCAACGCAATCTACCTTTCCTCAGCACTTCTGCCCTTTGAACCGTCTTCATTAGTGCTCAGAGGTTCATGTAGTTATCTGTTTTTAGGTGAGATTGCACTGCTTTTTATGGAGCCCGAAAGGAACACAAACATGCTGCCCAGCAGAGTTCACAAGATCTGGCATGACACGCCAGGAGAAGTGAGATGTAGTGTAAGAGTTGGCAAAATGAGTGGGAAAAAATATGTCACCCTTCCCATCCACCACCACCTGTGCTGAAGGGGGAGAGAGAGAGAGAGAGAGAGAGAGAGAAGGGAAAGCCCAGTGTTTGGCGAGCCGTGCTGTTGCAACAGGAAACGGGGGCCATGACTAACATGACATGATGTGGAAAACAGATACACTGTACCATGACACCGTCTTGGTACAGTGACAGAGGCTACAACCAATAAGCAATACGTTCTAGCTTCAGGATTTACTTCATGAAGGTTGGTCGGGGTCACGCCTCAGGAGATGATCTGAATCAGTTGTATTTAAAGAACTAGTCAGTAAGTAAGACACAGACTAAGGCCTGGTATCAGACTTATTTAGTGGCGCCCAAAATGTGTTTGTTAAAGTGCTAAAGACCGAAAGCTTCCATGGAGTATCAGACGGTCAGATTTCTGAAGCTGAAGTTCTTTGCAACTTTTGTAAAGCTGAAATGATTAAGTGATGAGTCAACGTCACTTCTTAAGCTGAAATGCCAAAGATACTCTGGTTCTAGCTTATTAAATGTGAATATTTGCCCTTTCCTCTGATAGTTCCTACTAGATAGTTACAAAAGTCCTTGTCAGAGCTGTTTTACCACATTGCCACATCCAAGTCTAATTTCAGCTGCATATTTCAAAGAGATCTGTGGGGCAAAGAGGGAATCCTTCTTGATTACTGGCAGGGAGCAGCAGGGTGGGGATGGGAGTGGAAGTGAAGCGGTTAGAGGGCTTCGGCATTTACAGCTGCAGTGGGTGGGAGGGGAGTTACTGTAGAGGGGGGACTCCAGAGACGGGAGAGCGTGGGGGCGCCCCCACTGCTCCGCACGTATGGATGAATCATGACTCACATCCCTCAGACGCTAGTTCTCCTTCAGCGCCAAACCCTTTACTGTCTTTCTCTGCCACTCCCTGAACTTCGCAGCAGAAAATACTCATCTCTGTACTCTCTGAATAAAAAAACAACTCTCGCAGCTGCTGTCGACTGTTCAGGAAAGTGCTGGTGTCGAAGGCACGACGCTCAGTTGTTGGTCTGATTTGTCCTCCCTCACGTGGGCCTCCTGAGCTCACTGCATGCTGCTGCTCGTGTTCTGTTTTATGCATTAGGAAAAACCTACAGCCAGGCTCCCAGTGCGAGGGAAACATTTGTACATCTAATTCTCTTAATTACATGGCACCAAACATTCCTAATCACAGATGCCATCCCCGTGTATAAACATAGCCAGGCCCGTATAGCTGCTGCCTTTCAAAGCCCCTATAGATGGAGAATTTAGGTGGAACCATGTCACCGTTTTTTCTGTTTTTCTTTAGGGTGTGGGTTCTACATGTGTATCTAGAGACTGTAGCTTTACAGTCTGATAGAGCTGGTGCTGACTCCTTGTGTTTCCCGTGTTGCAGGATGATGTTGGGCCTGAGTGAGTGGTTCTGGCAGGAGCGGCTGTGGTTTCCGGAGGGCCTGGGCTGGGCCGACCTGGAGGATCGCGATGGACGATTGTACGCCAAAGCCAGTGACTTGTGGGTGGCACTGCCCATCGCCCTTTTATTCCTCATTGTCCGTCAGATCTTTGAAAGGTCAGTCCATTTTTCACTCTGTCTCACTCGATATCTGTGCCCCTCATCTATGTCTTTGGTTATTAATTCAAACATTTGCCTCCCTCTATATTACACATACACATTTATCTCCGTCCTTCTGTCCAGTCTAACTCTTGTCTTTTTCCCTTTGACTGCTGCCTTCTCTTCCCTTTCTTTCTTCTTTAGTCCGCCCATCCTCCTCTCTCATCCTCTGACCTCTAATTACATTATTTTACTCCAGAATGCAGTTTTTATCTCTCTTTTTGTTATTTGATATTCCCGATGCTGTGACCCACTTGATAATCTTTCAACTGACTCATATCGTTTCTCACAGAAGTACACTGTTCCTTTTTCCAAGTAGTTAATCTTTTGAAAATCAGAAAATCGTGACACAGTCCACCTGTGTTTTATTGCTAATGCCAAGGAGCTCGCTTCCTCATTATTGTTTTTTTTTTTACTCCTACGGCCCATCCAGTCCTGGAGTGGTAAATGATAATGTGGTGTAACTGGAGATTAGAGAAATATGATAAGGCAAACAAAGTGCAAATAACAGTATTATGACATTTACATATATAAACATGACATTTGGGCCATTTTTCTGAGGCTTCATTGGTATTATTTTAGTTTTAAACACTATCCTCTTGTCAGCCTGACTCACATCATCCTGAACTCTAATAGTTAAAGTCACTCTTTTTGTCTGTTAGCTTCATTTAACTCACATTTGGGTTTGTAAATGTAAATGTAAAAGAGTTTCCATGATTGTGCACTCTACTGCATCTAATGCCTCTTCAATTTCTCACTTTTCTTTTCTACATTTAATCTCTTTTTTACAACCCTTCCGGGATGCAGGACAGTGGCTACACCCTTGGCCTCTCTGCTCGGGGTGAAAGAGACAGCGCGGCTCAAGGCCCCTCACAACCCCACACTGGAGTCCTACTACTGTAACATTACCAAAAACCCCACACAGGTAGATGTTTGCATACACACGCAAAAAGAGTACCGTGCTATGTGTGTTGTCAGGTGCTAAAATCTGACCTCTTTGTGCTGTTCACAGACTTCAATAGCAAGTCTCTGCAAGCAGACCGGATATTCAGAAAGACAAGTGCAGCGATGGTTCAGGAGGCGAAGGAACCAGGACAGGCCGAGTTTGCTCAAAAAGTTTCGAGAAGCCAGGTAAACAAACACACACACACACACACACACACTCTCTCTCTTTTTAACATATATGCGCCCACTATAAAACTATGGAGCAGGTTCAAACAGCTGCCCTCGCTTGCGTTCCTCCGGCTATATGAGCACATTTCTGAGGGCAAAAGTAGCCCTCTATTTTTAACATGCACTCATTACAATGCCTCTCTGCTGCTACCATGCCTGTAGCCCCTGCTCTTCTCACACACACAAATCCAGCCATCCGCATACTCATTAGCACTGGGCCTCAGCAACAGGGGCTCTGTCACCACTGTTATTTTCTTGTGTGAGCATTAAGCGGAAGCTAAACCAACAGCATGATCGTCTGATAATAGAAGGCTGCTGAAACCAGCTCGTGTTAGCTGGCAGGATCCACGCTGTATGACTGCAGTTAGCATAATACTGTTAGCATCGCTTGTATTTATACACAGGGAAATATTCAGTGAGATGCATAAAAGACAAACACATTATCCCACCCCATATGTTCAATGTATAACTTCTCCGTAGTGATTCGCTTCATTGTCATGGTCATTGTTCGACTGATCCATAAAAGCTTTTCATGTGACTTTAAGGGTCAGTTCACGCAAATTACAGGACAACACACCTCGTTGTGATCAGTTTTTCATTGGAACTGCTTTAAAATGTAGAAATCGTTCATTTGGGTTTGGAAACAGCCGTTGACAAAAACAATCTCACCAGAAGGTCCACTCTGCAGCTGTTCTGGAGCTGGATGTTCTTGAGCGGACGGGATTGCTCAGTTGCTTGGGAATAATTCAGATTTCCATTTTTAATGAGCACTTTAACATTTTAGTGCAATAGTCAGGTGCCCATGTGCTTGTTGTCATCATTTCTCCTGTTCATAGTCATACTGGACGGCCTGGGGGGCGAAATCCACTTTGTGTTTCTCCGGATAGTTTCCGTACTGAGCCGTGGTGAAGGATAGTAACACCAAGTGGGAATTCTGTACTAAAAAGGCTTTTAAAAATAACTTTTTTTGTCTTAACATTTTCCCCCAAACGAGAGGATGGTGGATTTTGTCCCCCCTCACTTCCAAGCAGATGTGGCTCTACTTTCCACGCACGTTAAGGAAAGAAAAGCAAAACCTTTTTCAGTGTGTATATGGGCACCGAGGTATTGTTTTAGGACAGACTTGTCGTGGCCCATAAGTTCTTAAAGTGCTCAGAAACACTTCCCACATCCACATTTCCATGACGACTGGGCAATGGAGATTGTTTTTGTCACCATTATTCGGTGTTATCCAGATTAATGGCGACACTGCTGCAGATTCATTTTGTGCACTTAATTTTTAAATTATATGAGCTCAACAAATCAACTTACTTCCTTTTGTGTGATGGCAGAAATAATAGTTGTTTAGCTTTTGGTAATTTTGGTGAAGTGACCCTTTAATCTGTTAATTATACATAAACCAGTCTTTAGTGGATTGATGTTCTGCGTCTGATGCTTGTGACGGTGTGTGCGGATGTGCATGTGACTGCATGTTTATCACTCCCCGGTTATGGTGTCTCTTTCGCTGTGCGTGTTACGACATTTCTCTTCTGAATCAATCTATTGTTTGTGTGTACACAACAGCCTTTCTGTCTCTCTCTCCCTTATTTTCCCCACTTGTGTATCTCTCACACTGTCTCTTCTTTCTCTCTGTGTGTGTGTTCACCTTTCTGTTCTTATGTTTCTCTATCCGTCTGTCTCTGCTGCTTCTGTGCTTTCTGTGTGAAATCCCCTCTGTACACATAGGAGTGACCCCCTCACTGTCTCTGTTACAGGATATTAACAGGGAGGATACTGTCTGACAGCTCTCATTGTCTGACAGCATGTGTTTCGCTGTCTGTGTGTCTGTCTGTCTGTGTGTGTGTCCTGATTTGACGTTCTCAGCGTACTTCAGATTTTTCCAGGCTTCTCATTCAGCCTGCCATTTATTTACCAACTTGTTTGCGACTGTGTACGTGAATGTGTGCATGTGTGATGCGTTTATGTGTCTGCTGGTAGAAAATGTGTCTACTGTCTTTTCCCCATTGACTGAGTAGAAAGTGTGTTTGTATGTGTGTGTTCTCTTGCAGTTGGAGATTTACCTTTTACCTTCTTGCTTTCATTGCTGGCCTGGCCGCCCTCATCGATGTGAGTACCGCCATGTTAACCTCGATCCTTCCTCCCCCCGCCCCTTTATGTTCACATCCTCATTCGCCACCTGCCCTGCCATCACAACCTGATGGTTTCCATGGTAGTCTGCTCTTTTTTGCTGTGATAACCTTCACCTCTCGCACTGTCAGAGGGGGCAGCGTTGACTCATTGCCATGCTGAGTCAGTTGATATAAATACACTTGTCGAACTCTGCTGTCTCACTTACATCGCATCTCTCCTTCCAGAAACCTTGGCTATATGACCTGAAGGAGATGTGGGAAGGCTTTCCTGTGCTGGTACGTCTCTGGGATGGCTATGTACACTGAATGCACAAGTCTTAAAAAGCATAGAATTCAGTTCACAGAAAGGCCTGTTACATGTCTATAAACTCCAAGGGAGACTGTGGATTGTGCTGCAGGAGGCTGTTCAGTCCTGTTTTTGTGGGGTTTCAGCTGGCACCATCCGAAACACTGTCACTACTGCTAGCCACAGTAGCTAGAAAGCTCGTCAACTCATGATAGACCAGTGCCGATTTCAACAAATATCAAATGTTTTGATCCTACCATTACTTTTCTGCCACTTATCTGGGTTACGGTCATACTAATTGATTTATTATATTACTAGGAATTAGTGTTACATACAGTCAGGGAATACTGACAAAATGTGATATATATTATTGTCGCTAAAAATTCACGTACACTTGTATGGTAGTGAAAAGGGTATCAAATTTAATCTAAAAGGTCTTAAAAAAAGTTCAATAGAGCATCATCTGTTCATCATCTAAGTAATTTCTTAAGCAAAACTGTAGAAAATGAACTGATCCTAGCTTCTCAAATGTGTTTTACAGAACAATGAAGCATTGATCAGGAGAATAATTGAAAGAGTAATCAATAATAATAATATAAACTGTTAGTTTCAGCCCTAGTTCCCAGTATACAATAGATTTGAGCACACATTTGTGTATAGATTTTAAAATTCAAGATCTCTTTCCTCTCCTTCAGACTCTCTTGCCTTCTCAGTATTGGTACTACATGATTGAGCTGGGTTTCTACTGCTCTCTGCTCTTCAGTGTTGCTTCTGATGTCAAACGCAAAGTAAGTATAAAACAAAAGGCTTGTATGGGACAGAGGGAAAAGACAGAAAGATTACTGTAAATAGAAAAATAATATGATGTATACATATGGTAGTTTGTTTTTAATTGTTATATGGTTGGAACATCATGATCAGCTGTACACAGAAAGAAGATAAAGTCTATTTTCACTATCTGATCAGTTTGACATTAGACTGTTGTTACACGTGTGGTTGAATGTGTGTGTGTGTGTTTGTGTTTGGACTTTGCTCAACCTGGGTCAGCTGAGCACAGCGGGGAAAATCTTGCCAAAAAGGCACAGTGTGTTCCTCCAACACAATATTATTACAAAGTTGCCTCTTAAACAGGATTTACCAGTACAAATACAGACCCACTTAAAACATGCAACACACACACACATATATATTAATATATTCTCAACATATTTCTTTATAACTACTTCAGCATAACTTTCTTTTGCCGTGTGTCTTTCTCTTTAGGACTTTAAGGAGCAGATTGTTCACCATGTAGCGACTATCCTCCTCATCAGTTTCTCCTGGTGTGTTAACTACATCCGTGCTGGAACTCTCATCATGCTGGTGCACGACTCCTCTGATTACTTCCTTGAGGTAAATTTCTCCACAGGATCATCGCAGAACTTTAGATTCATAGTATATCCATGTTAAAGTGAAATACAGTAAAAGTTTAAATATAAATAGGGCCAGTATTAATATGTTTTATGTTGATGTCAGTACCAAAAAGACAAATGCTGTTTACTTGCTGCAGTTTTGTTCACAACTGACTCAGTGAGTGCTATGAAAATGAAAGAGAAATTATGATGGCTATACACTGATGATGCACTGCCACCTTGTGGAGGAGACTACACATAACTTTGGTTATCTTTAGTGGGATAGAGGCAAACCAACTGCCATTTTCATTATTCAAATACATTTTCCATTTGTCATGAACTTTCCTATTAAACAAATTTCCTTTATCTCTCTCTCTCTCTCTCCCTCTGACAGTCTGCAAAGATGTTTAACTATGCTGGGTGGCGAAATGCTTGCAACTACATCTTTATTGTGTTTGCTGCAATCTTCATTATCACTCGCCTGGTTATCTTTCCTTTCCGGTACACACACACACACACACACACACACACACACGTTTTAAATAATCGTTTTATTGTCATATACAACTGGATATTATTTAAGTTAACGTGTCCTTAATCCTCACTATCTCTGTTGCAGGATTATTTACTGTACTTGGATTTACCCGGTGACCATCTATGAACCCTTCTTCGGCTACTACTTTTTCAATGGACTTTTGATGGTGCTGCAGTGTCTACATATCTTCTGGGCCATCCTCATCATACGCATAGCAGTCCGTTTCCTCACCAACAATGTAAGCAAACAAAGAAATCTAAAGCAAAGTCAATTAAACCATGGGAATTCAAGCACTCATATTTTTATCATCAAGTACTGATTAAAAGTAAATACATAAATTACCAGAAAATACAAAAAGAAATGTAAATGTAAAGTTGTATGTAAGTAACATTTACATATAAACATAAACACATAAATTTGCAGTTGGAACATTTGAAATACTGTGTTAAAATGTTAAAATGAAGGTCTTTAAAGAATTGTTTCAGTGTAAGCACTGAATGAAGTTGAAATGTTTATTTAAGTGTAGGAGCTGAGTGAAGTCGTATCAGTTGAAGTGAAAGTGCTGACGGGTGCTGAGAAGTATAAATGATGAATCAGTTGAAGTGGACGTCCTAGGGGGAAGTGATGCCAGTTCTTTTGTAGAAACAGAAAAAAAAAGAGTTTAAAAGAGTACTTCACCGATTTAGCATTGCGCTACAACATTATCCAAGATGTTTGGGGGTTTTTTTAAAGCAAAGCAGCAGAACCAAGTTACAGTCGGCTACAGAATAAGCTCTCTTCTTTATAACACCAAACCCCAGATGCTGACTCAAGTGATGTAATCTGAGGCAGTTTATCAGACCTCACAGAGCACCCACTGGAGCCACAAAAGGTTTTACTTTTTTCACATACGCAGTAGTACTTCCCAGTGCCTGTAAACAGGCTTTGATGTGTAAAATAGGTGGTGTCCCCCATTAAAGACAAATGAAAGCAGTGGAACAGTCAGTTGATGTTACGTGCTGAAAGCGGTTGAATTGTCATTTCGAGAGTAAGATTCTGTTCATTCATCCATAAAGTCATGTACATTCAAGCACTTACATCGTCATCATCCAGCCCGATTACAAAACAAAGGTAAATACCCAAATATTAATAAATACACATATAATATGACATAAAAACTATAAATACATGCAACATAAGAATATATTCCATAAAAGCTATGATCTTTTGTGCACACACACATACACACGCACACTTTTCATGCATGCAACCGGACAGTTTGATATTGTTCTGACACTCCCCAGAGCTCCAGCACAGTGTGAGCAGAAGGTCTCCTTGATTAATAGTGTTCCTAAGCGGCCTCCTTTTTAAATTGTTTTTTTCTTTTCCCAGGAAAAAGTGGACGACGAAAGGAGTGACAAAGACGAAACGGATGAATCAGAAGAGGACGAGGAAGAGGACGAGGATAAAAAGGACATGAAGAAAAATGGGCCGGTGCAGAACGGTCACACAGTCCACAACAACAACCACAGCAAGACAGAGTGAAAGCAAACAAATGTCAGGACGAAAGAATGTGAGATGGACTCATATCTCTCAGTAGGGGAGCAGGAAGGGAGGAATGGAAAGAAAGAGGAAGAAGAAGGGGTGTGGGTCAGGGAGGGAGGGAGGGAGGGGGCAAGTCATTCCCTAAAAAACCAAGAACAACAGGTATCATGAAGAAATTTGACACTGTTACTTTTGCACAACACAAAAACACATTCACACACGTTCATTCGTACTTTTAGAGGGCCACAGAGATCCAGCTGATGATAAACATACACTACGTTAGGCGGCGGGGCTTTTTTTGCTTTGTCGTCAGAGAAAAATGTATCATTGTCAACGTATGATGTCAGTTCCAAAATTTCAAAGAGACGGGAGAAAAATGGAGAGGAACAAAGTGTGGAGAGGACACAGGGGGGAGGGGGGGTGATGCTTCTTCTACTTCAGCTTTCCTTGTTCTGTGTGCCTTAGAGCCAGCTAATGGCTGTTAAAATGCCATTTTTAAAGCTTCGTGCTTTGATTTTGTGTTGCTTTATTTCGTTGCACCTTTTTTGTTTTCTACAAAAAAAAATAACAAAAGAGATTGAAAGTGAGTTTTATGAAAGTGAGACAATAGGGCATTTCTTTCCCTAATTTTCTGTCTATGCAATTACGTAAATGTTCAGCTATTGCAACGTCTTTGCACAAACATACAGTGTCTCTTATATACTGTAATAACTTGCAGTAGGACCGCGTGCCTCTGCTCTCCAATGCGGCCTGTGCCATTTATAAAGTAGTCTGCCTTGTAAGGTTTAAGGAGTAAATTTGGTGTCAGTTTTGTAAACAATCAGCAAGAAATTCTTGCTTTCTCATTTTAATTTCTGTTCAATTTTTAATCCAGCAGATCTTTGTGTACAATTCTTGCTTCCAAATGAAATGTCCTGTTTGACCAGTCAGGAATACCCAGAAATCACTGCAATAGAAATCACAGCTTCCTGCTAGTGTTTGACGGAGCCGAATGTTTTTTCCTCTCTCTGGTTTGGCTGAAGCTCTTTGATCCGGTTGAATGAATCACGCCGTTGAGGTCACCCACTGAAAACCGATGACTCTCAGTGAAGTCATTACGAAGCTGGGTTGCTGTGTTGAAATCCAGGAGTTTTACTAACAGATCAACCATTTCAAGATTTTACAAAACGTGGACCAGATTTCTTCAATTCACTGCCTAGTAACCTGGGTTATGTTTGTTAACCTGGGTTAGATTTTAAGTGTTGATCTAAGTGAATGATTTTAGCTATGATTCTGTGTATGAAACGGGTTTACAGGTATTGCTCTTTTGGAGTTACGGCGGTAAAAGATATTGTAATCGATTTTTAGTTAGTTAAGTATTTTTTGAAGACTTGTGAAGAATTCATGAAATGAGTGTTGCAGTTTCGTTGTCATGCTTTAAAGTTTTTATTTGTATGTCAAGTGCCTTATCTGTAATGTATGGGAAGCTCTCTCTCTCTCTCTCTCTCTCTCTCTCCTGTCTCCTTGTCCTCTCATTTTCTTTCCTGTCTCCACATCACAACCTCCCTCCACTGTCTCATCCATCACTCTCCTCCCTCTCTCCTCTGTATAAATTACCTTCCTTTAAAACTCACCCTCATTCCACCACCATGTTCTTTTTTACTAACCCAGACCAACCAGCAACCTCTCTTCCCCGGTGACACACAACAAACAGCTGTGTCCTAATTACAGTGTTATTTTTTTTTTATTTTGTATTTTTTTGTTTAATAACTAATTATTGTTATTAATAATAAAAAGCAAAGATCATGAATCACAGTAAAAAGCACTTGGAAGTTGTTTTTATTTATTTATAACTAAAATCCTATTTATCTCTTGAAACTCCGTCTGACATAATGTTAAAATACTTTTTACAGAGCAGAAATAGCATTAACACAGTCCTTCAGCAGCAATTCAACAGTGGTGGAAGAGGAATTTGGATCCTTTACTTAAGCAAAGGCAAAAGTCCCGCATTCAAAATGTATTTAAGGTATAAAATTATGTAAGTATTATCAGAAAAAGATCTTTAAAGTATAAAAATAGTTACTGGTTACTTTGCATTTCACTTAAAAACATGATTGTTATAGACTAAACTACAATACAGTGTACAAAGTAGTTATAATTAGCTCCACCTCAACCAGCTACAACATTAAACACACAGTAATGCCTCAGTAATAATAATAATACAGTAATTAAACATAATAATCTGACCATTCTACTACCAAAGTTTCAATACTTTCACTGAAAGTGAAACCCAGTATCATTACTCAATGACAGTTTTGAGGTACTTTAATGTAATTTCCTGTAACCTTTTAACTTTCACTCTACTACACTTCAGCAGTAAATGTTATGTACAGTTTACAGCTGAAGTTACAAGCAGGAAATAATTTACATACAAAGAAGATACGATCAGCTGATAAACCATGAAGTATTGTAGTATAACAGTACTATAAAAAGCAGTTAAAGGTGGCTCCACATTGACCAATTGCCACAGTATTAATAGTCCTGTAATATAAGACTTTGAGAAGGGACATTCACACAATAAAAACTTATTATTAACTGATAATATTACTCATATAGCTGATTACTTCAGGTAACATTTTAAAGGAAGACTTTTAGGCAGATTTGTTTTTTATGTGTTTTATTGTTTCAGTGAATTATTTACCACTGTACCACTGTTTTACCTTAAAATAGAGTATATTTACAAAGAGATTACTAAATTTTATCTAAAGTTACATTGTCAAAGATCTTTACCATATAGGATACTGGTAATTGTACATATTTAAGTTGTTCTTTGGTAATCCCCATGAGGAAATTCAAGTGAAAGTGAAATTAGAGAAAAATCTTTACCTTATAAGGTAAGGTTATATGATCTCAATATTTCATCTACTAGTGCTGAGATATTAATAATAATAATAACTTCA